ATCTAGTTTCTTAAAAGGTTTTCTAATATGACCTATATGAGTTGCAGGTCTTGTAAGTGGCCCATGCTCTCTTAGGCGCTCCCAAGACCTAAGTGGGTGGCGTAAGTACCGCTTGGGACTAGACAAGCACCTAGACCGCTTTTCAAAATAATTGTAGTGGTAGTACATATCCAAAGTCTTAAAATTTCCCACTTCAACATAGCATCTGAAATGATTGCTAAATGTGTGGATGTAACTAGGAAATAATAGAAAATCAATTGATAGGACTAGCCCTATTGATCACTTTTATTTGGAAATATTCTCTTGTCAATGGATTTCCAATAATAACAAAATTGGAGCTTTTTCTGTTTAATCTGCCCTTTAGACGACATGATCATCTCTCTCTCTCTCTCTCTCTCTCTGCCTTCTTTTTTTTAATTTTAAGGAATCGATCATGTATGTTTTGAACATATGTATTTGGGCATTTTGTTGAGATTTATGGTAAATCTTACATGTTTTGAACATATGTATTTGGGCACTTTGTTGAGATTTATGGTAAATCTTACAGGACATGACAATTGTGTTACAAACCCAACTCTTGTCCTCCCTCTTTGTATGTGCATGTGTGCGCACGCATGCCAGCGCGTGTTGTACATGCGTGATCTGTATGGAGAACATGGATGGGGAAAGGAAAATGTGACCCTTGTTTACATTAATGTAGAATTTGAGTAAGATGGGGTGCATTCGTTGTTCCGCCCTTCCCTTTTTCTTGGAGGAAGTGGGGAGGAGGTAGGATTGGCTTATATTAATGTTAAGTAGCAGTAGCTGAGCTTTTTCTGGTACTTGCAAGTAACCCATCTCATCATTCTTGCACGTCGTGATTTGTATCCATCATTCAGATAGTATTTAGTGATTTTTTCATTCAATTTATTCGAGAATATTTGTTTGTTAAAGTAAAATTTCTCATATTTTGAACTATTCCTTTTATGCAGTTGCTGCAACCTACCACATTAGAACTAGAGATGCACCTATTAGAGAAATACTTTCACAAGTTTATTCTCTTTTGCAGCTAAAAGCATACCCCAGTCTTAACCTAGGACCTCCCATTACACAACTCCTCACTTTACTAGTGAGCCAAGCCTGACTTTCACGAATATATATTAAAAGATATACTTAATTCAAATGCTTATACAGTATTAAGAACTTATATGAGATGGTACTGACTGTATGAGATAGTATACGCTTGAATTTTATGAACGTATATGAAGATAGTGTACCCTTGTGATCTGTTTTTTGCTCATTAGATTTCAACACTCTAGGCCATTTGTTCTTGGTCTGGAAGTAACATTACATAGTCTTGGAGAAAGCTTGCTGCATCAAATTATTTGCTTTATGTGGAGTTCGTCTCCATTCAGGTATATGAAGGTGCCGTTTACATGCATCAAGGCTTCACCTATCTTGTGAAAACATTAAATTTATCAGAAAAGACTGCTTACTGCCAGAAGGCAGACTTGAAGTACTACACGAAGACACGAGATTACACAGACATTCATGTCTTTGGCAGCAAACTTGTAGGTTCACTTTCTTACAAATTCATTCTTTTTCTGTATTAATTATATATGTTTGCATGACCTTCTGTTTAGTCCTAAGCTGATGATTAAGCATGTAGAACACTTTTGCTTGTTCTTTCTTGCTCTTGCTTAGGCCTATCCTCCAGTAAAGGGATCCAAATTTGAATATTCCAGAACAACTGCTCAAGTACATTCTTGCAATGTGACAACAACGTGGTTTGGTTTTCATCGCATTTGGAAATCAAGTAACCAGATATATGACACAGTTGATCTTTATCTTCCTGTGTTCTCATATGAATCTCAGGTATGTAATATTTAGTTAGTTATTATTTCACTTTATTGGAGCTTTTCCTAGAATAATATTTCCATGCCTTCGTTCTGTAATATTTTTCTACCTATCGTGGAAACAGGCAGCGTGGATTCGAGTTCCGCAGTCAGTAAGAGAAGCTGTTGAATTAGAAGGGTTGTCATTCCGTGCAGGCAAGCATGCAGCTTCACATGCTCTTCTTAATGTTGTTCCCCTGTAAGTTCAGACAAATCAACCAGTTACTTTGTCATATTGAGTTTTATCCCTAGGTAGGTGTAGCATCTTATGTACAAGGTTGAGTAACTCACCGCCTTCCTATTTAGTTGATGAAGATGCAAAAATAGACACGACAAATATGCATGAATTCACATTTAGTTGTGCTTATTTGTGCACTTGGTTATCTTTCATTTCAGTAGGTAATATTTGTTGGCTTACTTGGCTATTGAGATACGCCCTTATTAGCCACCACATAAGCTGTTGTTGGCTTAAAGGAAAATTAGCGTACTTAATGCAAACTGTATTTCTTGTTCAGGTATATGATGTGTAATTCTTCTGACCTGAGCACCGAGTGTGCAAATCCTCATGAAACCCGTAGTATCCCTGAAAGATTGCTGTTGTATGATAAGCATCCTGGAGGCATTGGCATTACAACACAGGTACATACCATAGATCTTGATTACTAATTTTACCATCATTACTTTGGTGTAACAGAAATTGTGGCGTCTGACCTGTGGTTTACCACGAGAAGTCAGAATGTTAACTCTGTTGCAGTTTGTATCCTGATTGGATAGAAAAGATAACTGTTTCAATCAGAATATGAAATATCATTTCAATCAAAATAAAAAATGAAATTAAACAATGGTGTGTTACAAGCCATGGGTATTCAGAGGGAGGATTGTCAACTGTCATCGTCATATATGTTTGTATTTCTCAAATGTGTATCCAATTTTTGGTAAGTTGAATTATAGAAAATTGGCCTTGTAACTTTTACTCCCTGACATGCCAATTATTATTACCCGTAATGAATATGTTGGATTTTGGCGACAGATCCAGCTGCTCTTCAGGGAACTTCTCACTGCAGCCTTTGAACTTGTCTCAACATGCAGTTGCTTGAGTGCTGCTGGTTGTCCAAACTGTGTACAGGTAAGTCACAATTGACTTTGTCGTAATGTAATTTCTCATGGCAGATATGGTGAGGTCTCAGGGTCTTGTTCTGCAGGCATTTTCATGTAGTGAATACAATGAAATCCTTGACAAGAAAGCTGCAGTTATAATCCTCAAGGTATCTGCCTTTTGATTTATACTTTTATATTAAATTGTGTTTATCCTAACCAAGAATTGCATACTAATTTAAGAAGAATATACGTGTAGGGTGTAATTGAATCTGAAGAAGCCTACTTCAAAAGTAGGAGGGAGTTTCCTGAGTAGTTGAAGCCCATATTTTGAAAGCTGGAAAAATTCTCTGAAATGTCCCACCATTATTTATCACTAATTCAATGGCTTAGTTTGGTAGGAGGGTTGAGGAAGTGACGTGAGAGGAGGAAGGTGCGATGAGGGATGAACATTCATGTTATTGAAGAAATATAAAGAGGATTATATGTACGCAAAGAAATATTAGATTGGCTTTGACTAGCTTTTAATAATTACACTCTTATTGTGTGGATTATATATAAGAGTATGGATCTTTGATCATCTTTTAACAAATAGACTCTATATACGCAATATCTCAATGAAATTTAGTTGTAGATTGGTAAAGTTTTTGTTTTTAAGTTAGTGCAAAAGAAACTACTCATAGCTTGCTCTATACGACTAGTTACATGCATATGTAAACATGATATGATTTAAAGTCAGCATCTTCTAACAACACACCATAATCGATAATATGAATCTCATGTATGTGAATATGAAGAAAGATAAAAGTGAAACCACAAATTGTGTGTAAATCAACAAGTCATCGAATATAGCATATGAAGTTGAGAAAACAAATATTGACTTGATAATAAAATGCAATTTCATGTGTCCTCTAGCAATATTATACAAAGATTAATCTGAAAAATATATAGACACATAGAAAGTCACTTTTTTTAAGTTTCTTTAAGAAATCAAAAAATAAAAAAGAGAAACTTTATTTTGTTTTCTTATAAGAAAGAGAAAGAGAAAAAAATTTAAAAAAAATAAAACACAAAGCAATATTAAAACAAAAAAAAAGGGGGGGGGGACAACAAGTGGGGTTATAGAATATACTACTACTTACCCCTTTGAGATGAATTGTTGAAACAATCATTTATACAAGCGTGACGTAACTTCAAAACGTAATAAGACTCATTTTGCAACATATCCGCAACTTTTCATCCTGCACCCAAACGTTTTAGACTTTTAAAATGAATATGAAGAAAATACGAAGTATATTATTTGCATGTCCATTAACATTCAAATCAATTGAACCTATTTGAAATAATCAAAGTTGCATGCGTAGGTTCAGAAAATGAATAGGCGTGCCTTTGTCCTTCTAAAGGATATGGGATTATCACTAAGTTCCCAACAAAATAATATTAAGGAGTTCAAATAGAAATTACCTATCTTATCAACTCTAACAATTTTACCTATTTTGTTGTTCTAAAAAAGTCACATACCCATACTTTTTTGGGTTAGGCTAAGAAACAAATTTTTATCTTCTAAATATGACATGAGCAACCCAATTAGATGTTACCTTGCTCCTTAGCCTTCCTAGACACCTACAAAAAAATAGAAACGTGTGACCTAGGTATCCACATAGGTTTATGTCGCTTAGCAATTGTACCTATTGGTACCTAAATTTGCTTAACTGTTTTAACTATATATTGCATTTGACAATTCGTTAAAATATGACTTATTCTACCATATAAAGTACAAATAGTAGACTTTAGAAATTGGTGTAAATAGAGTTAAATTATTTTCTTTTATAAAAGAAGGTTAAAACTTTTATGTTTCTCTAAATATGAATAACGAAGTCTAGTTTTAGCTATTGCAAATCTTTGATTACAAAGGAACATGTTTGAACGTTTAGAACCCAATAAAAAAAATTTCACAATCTTTTCCAAATCAATATTTTTGGAATTAAATTGTTCATTTTCAGAAACTAGAACATAATCTATGATAGTTCATCTAATTGCAAACCTTCTTTGTTCAGAAGACAAATCACATAAAAGCTCATTTACCTTGGCAACTACTTTTTTAATTTCACTTGAATTTTCAGTTAGTTGCTTCGATAAATTAGAATTCATGTTTCTATATATGGAATATTATATACATTCAAATAAGATGTTTTCACTTGTATTGTTAGATGTATTCAACTTTAAAGAAGAATTTTCAAATTTATCACTCAACAATTTATTATGCTTATTTAAGTTTGAATTCATCTTTTTAATAACTTTATACTTTCTAACAAGCTTTTCAAATTGACCTAACATCTTAGCATACTTATCATAAAAAGCATCATAAGTACCTATACCTCATCGTCGGAGCTCTCATGGTCAGAATTATCTGAATTACCTTATTAGCCATGAGACATGGTGTGCTCTTTTGTTATCATTGCTCGAACTACTATTTGACACTTCTTCGCCACTCAACCATATTGTCACCTTGAAACTTTTGCCCATCTCTTTATAGTCCTTTTTATTCAAAAGACAAATTCTTCCTTAAGTGATCGAGTTTCATGCAACGAAAACAAGTTGATTCAGTATTAGAATCACTAGAATTATATTTATTTTCCTTCCTTGTATAGTGACTCCTACAAGAATTTTTGGTCGTCCTTCGATTTGAGAAAGAATTTCAAGCCTTTAAGAATTTGATCTATATTGTTATCTTTTCACTCTCAGAACTTGTGCTCAAACTCAGGTTTGTCTTGACCTTTGATTTTCTTCTTTTTGCTTTCAAAGCCCATGACTTATTTTTTGGGTTATCCTTCGATTGCTCTTCTCTCTCCATCAATCTCTCCTCACGTGTGATAAAATTTCTTACAAGATTATCAAGATAGATTTCAGATAAATTATTGGATTCCTTGATAACAAACTCGTCTTGGCTATAGTGTTTCCCAATGCTTTTGCCTTGTTCACAATATCCATGAAACGTGTGAGCATCTCCTGTATGCTCTCAAGGGCCTTGATCTTGAAATGTGCGAGCATTGTGATCTTGTCCTCTTGACCTGTGAAATACCCTCGTGGTTGACCTCCAACATTTGTCAAATTTCCTGCGCAGTCACACAACCAATAACACAGTTAGATTTATCAAAATTCAAAGAACAATACAAGGTATTCATAGCTTTAGCATTAAGAGAGTATGATTTCTTTTCAATAAAAGTCCACTTTTTCCTAGGTTTTAATAATGGTAGCTTCATCAACTATTGAATAGTCACTAATAACATGTTTTATTTTAATTGCAGGTTAATGAAAATTAATGAATAAGAGCTGAAAAAGAACTCAAATTTTCTTTTTTTTTACCTTTTATTGAAGCCCAAGATCAAACCAAGCAATTTACAGAAGCCGAAGAAATAAGGATCCAATATGAAAAGAAATTAAGTCAAAATCAAGTTCAAGATGATTAGCCAAACAAATGACGATATCTCCCAATCTGGAAGACGAAATTTAACATATAATATATAAAAATTACCTATCTTGATGAGATGGAGCTATCTGCATTTTTAGAATTTTAAAATTCTAATCAGTTGGTTAACTGATTGGCCAATCAGTTGGTCAACCAATTGGTCAATCAATTAACTAACCAATAGAATCGTAACAAACTTGTTTTGTAGCTAAGATTTAATCTTTGGAGCCCAAGTGAAATCTAATTGTTCTTGTTGCTTGTTGTAATCTACAAATAGGGGTAGAGGATGAGAGGTTTAAGTGTGAAAAAGTTTATAAAACTCTATTTGGAAAGGAGGTTTACTCTTAATTGAGAAGACCTTCTAAAAATTGTAACTTTGTTGCACTTAATAAAAAAATTTACCTCATCATAATTTTCTTTTCTTCTCTTTATTTGATGATAAAGATGAGATGAAAACGAATATGAAGATGAAGATGAAGGTTTTCTTTTAAGAGGCTAGAACCCTCTTATAATGTGAATTTTCTCTTTTATCTTTTATTTTCTTTTCTTATTTTAGATATTCAAGGGGCTAGAACCCTTTTGTTTTAGACTTATTTTGATGCATCGTAGAATAGATTTACTTTTATGTCTTTATTTTTGTATTATTTTCTTGCCTTTTTATTTGGTAGTATAGATTTATATTCTTGCATAGTTTAGATGTTCAATTATGTTCATTTTTGTTCATAGTTTAGATCTTTAATCTTTATTCTTATTTTCTTCTTTGTAGTTAGTTCTTATTTTCATTCTCTTTCTTTTATTCTCTCTAGTCGAGATTTTATTTCTTTATTTTTATTTTTTGAGATGTGAAACCGATTCTTGTAAAAAATCAAGAATTATATAAAACTATTTTGATTTCTTTTATAATTTTTAAATTTTTCTCATGTGGTTAAAATGATCATGTTTAAGATAATCGAATAGAGAATTAATTGGTAGAAGAAGAATTTGATAATCTATACTTATCTTGAGTGATTTGATAAACTATGCTTATAAATTCTAGAATTAATATCTAGTTGTTATTTTTTCATGAATGACAATTTTATTTGGATGATAATTTGATATGTTATACTTTTTTTAAGTGGTTTAATAGTCTATACTTAATAAATCTTAAGTAAAATGTGATAAAAGAGAATAGTTTCTAATTTATAAGTAAAATTGGGTAATAGATTCAATTCTAGATTCCTCATATCTCTAATTGAATCCTCTATTTTTTTTACTTTCTTGATTTTCTTTATTTATTTCTTAATTTTATTTTCCTTTATTTTCTTCGTCTTTCTTTTCCCCTTTTAATCTAGTTTTGTTTTTCTTTGTATATAGTCACAACCACTATTTTTATCTATCCATAGCCATTTCTATCACTCCTATTTGTCATACACACAACTTAAGAATCAATTTTGATTATTTCTTACAAACCTTCCTCATGGGATGAATACTTTTCTATACTATAACTTGATAGTTGTGCGCTTGCAACTTGGATTTTATTTAATCCCTATCAAGTTTTTGGCATCGTTGTCAGGGAATGTGCTTGTAATTAAAATTTCTCTATTTTGATTCTTTAATTTGTGTGGTTAAGTGTGAAGGAATAACTTTGAAGGAGAAAGTTAAAGATTAGAGAGAAGATTTGCTTAAAAATAAGTTCTCTTTTTGTATTTTTAATTCTACCTTCTAGTTAGGCTTTTCACATTAGAGATAATTAGGAGCTAATAAAAACTAAACAATTTTTTTGTCCACCCTAATAAAATCTACCCTCCATTTAAATAACTACTAACAAGAAAATAAATCTAAACAAAAGCTTTTTTTTCTCATATTTGTTTATTTGTTTGTTGACCCTAATTAAAAAATATTTTCTTTTTGCATCCTTTGTAGTTGCTTTTAATTCCTAATGTTGCATTGCATATAGTTAGTAGGAATTCACCGAAGTTATTTGAGCATCTTGATATGACACATACTTAAAAATACTTGTAAGGGTAATACCCCCTAATCAAGATAATGTGAGGGAATTCTTCACTCTTTTTTTAGTCAACAAATCACTAATTTATCACTATACAAACCTAAGACTTTTAGAACTCATTAGACGT